CTTAAGCCACTTGACTAGCTGAGTAGTTCCACTGGTCATACTTACTTTTGAAAGATGATGTTCAGATGAAAATCCCAAGCCATAGACTGTATTCGCCCTGCTGTCTGCCCACTGGCCAAACTTCTGGGATGTTTTAGTAAATGTCATGTTGGGGGTGATAGTGCTATTTATTATTGCCTGGAAAAAAGTAATAGTTGTAAAAAAGGGGTTTTGTGGTTTTGATTTTTTTTTTAAAGACTACTCACAATTGAAAATGCCAATATTGCAGTCAAGTATCTGTGTACGCTGAACGAGACACAAACTGGGAACTAGGGAACAGTTTTCTTCTAATTCAATGACAGCTAAAATTATGAAAGCACATTTTCACATATATTCTGTAAAAGGAGCAAAAGCTGAGGGAGGGGCACCTGTTTGCAACTGCAAACAGTCATTTAGTACATAGCAAGTCTAAAAAAAGTCCTTTAAAGCATCTGCATAAGCTAATGAGATCAGCAATTGGACTAGTAAAGTCCTTTTTTGTCTCATAAGTGTATTTCTTTGTCCCCTAAGGCAACGCATCTCAAGCTCCACTGTTAAGCTTCACTATTGCATTCCGCCCACCCCTGATGCATACGCAATTCTCACTGGAAAACATGCAGTAGAACAAGAAGCACAATTTCTTTTTAAGTTTCTGTATTACAAGAATCTGTTTTTCTTTATACCTACACAAGCATGCCTAACAATGACAGGGTCATGCACCAACTATAGAAGAACTACTCTTAGAATAACTTTTCTTTTCTAGTTCTTCTTGTATAAAGGATGGAAGAAGCACATCCTTCAGCATACAACTTCTGCTAATATAAACAAAAAATGCAACTATTACATGATACACTGGTTCCACGAAAAGCAACTAAAGTTTTACCATGGATTGCAACAGTATTCCCATCACATTAAAGTTTGTCTAACATACTCTAAATCTGCGATGTGGAACTGTCCAGCTGACTTAAAAGTATGTCAGGATAAAGTCTTATAGTGACGCCAATGGGTTCCATTTAACTAAAAAACTAATGGTTAGTACAATTCATAACCAGCCAACATGAACAAGAAAAAGTAGCCATAAACCCAAAGATACGTGTATTTGAAGCGAAACACAGGCATGCTTTCTGATCTGTCTGGTGCTACTAAGAGTTTCAGCCACATATGTTAAATAATTCACAGCCCTTTTCATGAAATCACTGGTGCTTTGTAACACTCACATGAAAGATAACATCCTTAAAACCTCCCAGAAAATAGCATGCACTGTGAGCAGAACAATTCAGCAAAAATCTTTCTTTACATGCCTGTTACTGTGTTCCAAAGGCTATTGTCAGAATGTATCCTACTGCAATGTGTCTTACAGTATTGAGTTGGGATCTCTTGAACATCAGTGTGCATGTATCCCGTTTTCATGAAACCATAACCCCCGCCTTACACTTGGCAGTTCAAAGTCAGTGATTACTGAAGAATTCTAGAGCAGCGACAAAATTCACAAGGTGCTCTGAATAGCAGGAACTATACAGATGTGTAGAGAATAACAGCATTTTTTCAGGATGGTGACAGTAAGAACAACGTCAGAGAGATCAAGTACTGCTCTCCCAAGCCCAAGATCTTCTGAACACCAAAATCAGTCTATACTACTTGTCTGAGCTGGCCTTCTGGGTGGATATTACAATGAGTTTACTTGGCACTCTTTGCTTTTGCTGAGATCTGGGTCGCACTGGAGCACAGCTACCATCAACATAAATTTTACTCTGAATTCTACAGGCTGAAAAATTGACAGCTGAGAAGCCAGCTAAGCCCACAAACAGCTTACATGTGCACGTGGTGATTCTCAGATGAAGTGGCAGAAAGGAGTATTACAAAAAAAATTCAGAAGAACACATTGTATCGCAACATGTAGAAAGACAAGCAAAGATGCTGCAGCAGGGACGAATTTAACAAAACTAGTGGTTTGTTCTGCGGTGGCTTTGGCAGCTCCACTATAGTCACATAGAGTTAGAAGAGCAAATCTGGATGTAGCTGAGGATATCAAACAGGCAGCCCTCTCTGATAACCTTTGCCTTAAAACGCAAGTTTTGGCTACCATTGTGAGCAATTCCTGGAAAACTTTGGACTGCCTGAAAGCTTACATTTGAACCAGCAAGCCTCATCAGGTCAAGGACAGGATTTATGGTGTGATCAGAGACTGGAGAACCACCTCCAGCATTAATTGGCGACAAAATGTCTCCTCAGATTTTTGCATGAGAAGCCGGTCAGTGAAGTCACTGGTAATTCAAACATCATTCTCCTTTCTTTAGACTTAAAGTTCAGAGCCCAGATAAAGCCAGCAGGCCTGCACTTGCACTATGGCCTCCAAATGATGTCATCAAAAATGGCTCTGCCACACAGAACAGAAGAGAGAATGTGAGACAGGGAGGTGGACTTCTTGGAAAGGAGGTGTTCCGGAGCTCTTTTTTTCTTGTATGCTTCTTGCCTTCTTGTGCACTCTTAGTGTTTGGAAGCCCAAAACAGAGCTGTGCAAGTTCACCTAATGCTTAGTCTCACTTTCTGTAGAAGCTGCCAATAGTAATATGTTTGAAATTAAACACCCTGGGGACAGCGTAGAAAAGAGTTTTCCTCACAACTCAAGCTCTAGCTATGTTGTCTAGCTTGCTTAAGCCCTAGTTCCATCCATTGCTTGATTAATTTGAACTTACATCACAGATTTGAGAGTGTGCTTATTATGTCATGGACGTGACTTCATCAATGCAGAAGATGACTCTAAGGATAGGGATTCACGACCTTCAAGCAATAGGCATGTTTAAAGCCTGCAGGGCTGGCACTTGCTGCAGTGACAGTGGCATATCTGGTGGCAAATTAACCTAGCAAAAAACCTTGGAAAAACCAGCTAGCTTTTAACCGAGACTGCTCACTGCTTCAGCTGACCATGTGGCTGGCTGCACAAGAGAGAACGCAGGGCAGGCTGCCTGGACCAGAATGGGATACCTGTTTTGACAGCAGTCTGCATTTAGGATGGGTTACAGTGACTGTCCCATTGCTTCCTTGCAAGGGAGGAAGGTGGGAAGAAAAGTCTTTAAAAAATAATTGTATTGAGAAAGATTTGCTGTGATTTCTCCCTTTACTTTCCAGCAGAGAAAAATAAGGAGGCTCCACTCCAGTGGACACTACTAGTCCAAAGACGGCAAGGTTCTCACTGGGAAGGCTACATTCAGATCCTATTGATACAAAAAAGAGTCCTTTCATTAGACCTACCGGTTTTACACAGAAATCAAGGCTTACAATCCTCTCTGATTATAAGCATTAGTATGCTAGATCTCTCACATGCTGAATTAATTACACTTTTAAAAAGTGCAATGCTAGCGCGTACTACAGATACAGTCAGTGTCAGCTACTTCTGGAAAATACTAGATATGAATCCTTCATATCTTCAGGTTGAAAAAAGGATTTATTTTTTAAATTAGAATTTGTAATTCAGCATGTCTTGTCTACCTAAATAGATACTGCTTTAACTGCTCTCCTCCATGCCAAATTTCACTGTACAGTTACTAGTATAACAAGTGTCAAATATTTCATCAACTTTTAAGAATGTTGTTAGTATAAATGTACAGAATATCTTAAAAACAGAACAGAGTTAATCTGACAAGCAGACATTCAGCTTTTGAAGAAAACTGATTTTGTTATCTTTAGGTTTTGTTAGAATAATAAAATAGCTTTCATGTCTTCCTTTCATACTAGTTTAGCTATGAGAAAATAGGGCATGTGTCTTAGCTGTTCGTTTTACTGACTGCAATCTCAACAGCTGCAAAATATAGAGCAGTGGTCAAATATGATCTTGTATTGTGCTAAAATTGATGTCAATAATAATTGAGACACACAGTATTTTTTAACTTCTTCAAACAAAGATCACTGAAGACCTGTGCTTACAGGCCTTACTTAAAACCTGTATGCTAAATGCATCAAACAGGTTATCACTTTAATGCGCAACTAATTTATTTTAAGACAGTCATTAAAATGTGAAGACCACCTATTGCAGTGACACTGATAGGAGACTTCACTCAGAATATACAAGGCTCATGGAACCTACAGACTGGAAAACCACCCTTTTCCAGAGTCTTCTCTTGTTTTAGATGAGCACAAATTATTAGGGTTTTTTGCTATCTTGCATCTGTGAAAAAATTATCAGAGAGTTACCTAGTACTGCAGGAACCACATTAATTGATCTCCTTTCCTTTCTCAGTGACTGCCAGAGATTGAACAGAAAAGATAGCAGGGAATAATCCTAGTATCTGCCTGCAGAGTTAATGGAGAAACAATGGACGCTTCCTTCCATCATCTAAGAGCAAGAAGTACTAGAATATATTTTTCCAAGGAGCTATGAAATTACTATATAATTAATTAATAACTGAAAGCCTCAGCAACAACTGCTCTATATTGTCATATTATACTGCACAAGAAATTTTATTTTTCAGGCTTTCTCTTGATTCCTAGAATGGTAGGAGAAAAAGGTCTCATAAAAGATATTTACTCAAGAGGTCACAAAAAACAGCCTCGAGTTCTTCCAGACAATTTGCATCAGGATTGCCCTGCCATGGGCAACAGGGATCCAGACACTGTGTGTGACTATAAAATATGGCCTGTACACTGAACACCTTATGGTCCTAGAATATTTTCTGGATTCAAGTTAGAGCGAGATGCATAATTTCTTGTGCAAGGTATTTTAAGAGGAGACTGTAGATTCAGAAAACAACATTACACAGAATGCATTAAAAATAAGCAGAACTTGCTTCTGTAAGACCTCTCCCATCTGAATCTGTCTGAGACCCAGTGATATGCAATAAGGAAAAAAAAACCTCTCTCAAAATACACCAAAGATCCCCATTAGCAAATTCAAGTGGGAATCTGCAATGTACAGTAGCACCCCTCAGAGGTGAGTGAAGATCACGTCTCTAAAATGTCCTTTTTTTTCCAAGATGAAAGATTTAAAAATATTCAGACAACCAGTACACAAGTTAAATTTTATCCAGTAATCCTACTGAAACCCACTGACCTAAAGACAGGGAAGGGTTTGGGACAGAAATAGGATTATCACTCAAATCTAAAGCATATGTGCCTCAAACTTTCCTTACTGCAGTCTAAGTGAACATACACGTGAGTGGCCATCACTTACTAACTTAACTGCTTAGCACCTCAGCTGCTGTAACTGAGCATCCACATGCACATCATTCTCTCCACTGTAACAACCTACAGGGTGCTGTAAACCCCACCAGCGCCAAGGTTTACAACAAAACCTAGTTGGATCATGTATCTACTCCCTCCAAGGGAGGGACATGACAGCTTCAAAACCAGTATGGTTTGACAAATGTTTTTGGCCACTGGCAGTATGTGTATGAGACGTTTTAAATGCAGTATTTGTTTTTTCAAAAAAACAATCACAAAATCATCTTTACTCAGTTTCATTTCAAAACTTAAAATGAGAGAATTAAATTGCATGCCTTTTTCTCCTTTGCAAATTTAACACTTCTATCTGACCAATCAACAATATAAGGTAATATAAGGTATTGCAAGCTCAGTGCCAGTAGTGTTACTGACACCCAGCTGTATGCCATACAGCAGAGACACTATCTGGATGCACTCCAAACGTAAGAATGCTTTATCTTTATATTCAGCTCTTTGTACATACAATATTGTATAAGTGTAGACATGTTAAAAAAGAGGGGGCTTTAATTAAAAATAAAAAAATATCCGGGAACTATGCTGAAAATCTCCTTAAAATTCTTCCATGGGCCCCCTTGCTATTCACCTGTGCTTGTTTCAGAGCAGTGTTGTGATGCCTAAAACAATGGGTCTGTCTTAGTCATTATTGGGATCCTAGATCTTAGTCAGACATTTCACATTGGATGAAAACATTATTAGGATTGCAGCAATCACAGAGGGAGTAAATAAAAGTGATAGATTGCATTATCAATATACCATGCCAATACATGTAAAGGAAATGCTGCAGTAGACAAAAGAACAAATAAATAGATGAACAACTGCTCAACAATTTAACTCAGCAGCCAGGAGTTGCAGGAGTTGCAGCTTTGGAAAAAGGCAGACGAACCCCAGTGGATACCAGAATAAGGATTTTGTAGACTGTACAGATCAATTAAGGTGCTACAGACTACAACTGATAGTCTTGATTTCATACAGCATCTAGTTCCAATCTCAAAATCTTTATAAATAAAAGGTATTTTAACTATATGACAAAACTAAAAGAATCATTTGAAGGAAGGCTGGGAAGGGAAGAAAAAAGTAAGACTTAAACTTGGAAAAATTCTGGTAGGCTTTGACACCAGAGTCTGAATCACTTAAAGTAGTATCATATAGAGAACTCTGACTATGAGATGTATTTCCATATACTTCTTTATGATAGAGATTCTCCTTCATCATTTAAAATAACCGTAGTCTGGGTATTTTAACAAAATGCAGGGTAGTATTTTTCAGCTTTCAATAAATAGCTGCAAAATGTGAATGCTGCTATGCTCTAACAGACTACTTCAGTTCCAACCATCATGAACTGATGCACCTCCAGAAGTTGTAAATTAAAGTCTCTTGAAAGGATCACAACTTTTTATTACATTCTGTATATCTTTAATGTCCTTATTGCAGAGATTTCTGATATGCTGTTTGTAAAGTTACTGTTTTTATACCCACTTGGGGTAGAACCTAAAAAGCAGCCAAGTATTTTCTCCACATCAAATTAATTTCTTAGACAAGGCTTCCTATAACAGCAGCTCAACACATTATCCTTCCTAATTAAAAAAAAAAAAAACAAACACAACAAAAAACAACCACCCCCCCCCCAAAAAATGAAACCCAAACCACCAGGGTTTTGATAAAAGCTTACCACGGAGAGCTTTAGTAGGAGAGAATCCTCACATTCTCTACAGCAAAAATTGGAAGATTACATAACAAAGAAGGATTTCCTAAGCAATTATGGGCACTGAACAGATGTCCTTCCTAATACTGAAGCCAATGATATTGACAGATCATTGAATGAGGAAATTAAAACAGGTTATTGTAACCCTATTTGTACTTTTTAGTGCATCCCAGAGGGAATGCCTTTTTAGTCTGCTCATAATGTGAACTAAGTAACAGGTCATCAACTTAAATTCAGCAATAGATTTATCAAAGTAAACATGAATGCATGGAAAATAGCACTTCTGAATAAACACTTAAAACATAATGAAGCAATGTTATCACTTTAACATGTCAATAATCTGTTACTCAGATAATGACAAAAGCATCTGAGAAGACACATGAAGGACATCAGACTAGAAAATAAACACAAAAATTGATGAAGCAAGCAAGTTTTCTGAAATAAAACTTACCTTTGAGCCATCCAAACTGATTATCCTGTAGACATTTCTTGTGCTGTCATAGAAGTAGGATACAGTAACAGCATGCTTGCTGGTGGGAACCCAGTTCTTCTTAGTGTTTGGGTCAATCTGGAAGACGTGAGCTCGGGTGCTGAAGATGGGTTGTTCCCTGAAGGATAGGGAGTAAAAGTCATGAATCTAATTTGTACATAGTATTGTTGCACACAAGTTATCTTCCAGTTGTGCACACTGGGATGTACACATTTCACTTTGCTGATAAAATGCTAAGAACTTCTGTATGTGTTGCTGTGTAGAGCAGATATGTGCATTAATACACATATGCAAACAAAATGTAAGCCTTCCAAAGGCATAAATCAGCACCCAGCTGTAGAGTAAGATAAAGACAGAGTGTCCTGGTTTGGGTTGGGATAGAGTTAATTTTCTTCCTAATA